CACTTCTCTTTCAGTGGAGTGGAACAGGAAGAAACCTAGTAAAGATTGACGTTTGTCAACTTCTTTTCATACGGCATCCTCTTCTTGCATTATCTTTGGTGCTTGCCATCTTCTCACGAATTCGTCCACACCAACTAGGACTCGCGTCTGTTTGATGGCTTGACTATATACCCTTACAGCGTCAAGAACAATATATTAAACACACTCAACTTAGAAGATCAACATCAAGGTCCCCAGAACACAATGGTAGCTCTAGCCAGCAAGGCGAGCCTAGTCGTGCTCCGCTACGCTGCAGTGGTGTACTATCTTTTGGGCGCAACGACATCAAACTTGTTTGTGCTGGGGCGGGTATTCACTGCAGCACAAGGTGCTGCTTCTTCTGATGCCGTACTGGCGGGATCTTCTTCTCATGAAGGAACGGAAATTAGTGCTGGAAATTTTCATGCCGTGGATCATTCGCCAGTAGAAACCGCAGCTTTTTGCTTGCCAGAAAGGATAGCTCCTGTTGAAGGGAACGTCGAAAAATCATCTTCGTCTGCAGTTGTTGAATCCACAGTTGTTAAAGATGATACCGAAGACGCATTTTCCACAACGTCCAACGAAGCCGCAGCCCCCATCAGGACTCTTGATGAGGAAACACGCGGTAAATTGTACGACTGTGATGTCCAGCTGGTTGCCTATCTCGAGACCGTGGAAACCGTGAATTACACAAGTTTTGATGAGCTTTTGGTTCGATTTCAAGACTTGGAGCCGTACTTGCGCTGCTACCGAGAAATTGATCAGTACTACTACGGAGTTTATCAGGAAAATGTCGTACCCCGTACAGCCGAAGAGATCCGCACGAGATTGACAGACGCACTAAATGCCGGATCACCAGTATGACAGGAAAAAGCGTACTTAACCTCAGAAGGCTAAGCATGTTCTCAGCAGGAAACTATGCCTCTTTTGGTGGGCAGTATGAGTACACTTTTTTCTTTCATGCCCAACAGAGTGGGACGAAAAAGCTAGAGAAAGATTTAGAAAGGAGATTGTGCCTGCGCCGATCGAGATGTATACAGTGGAGGATATGGATCGCAACTTGCGTAGCGGCCTTAGTGCCGCTCTCAAAGAGGACAAAACAACTGGTGGCCCTGCGATGAAGTCTACTTCCTCATCGTCGGGCGATCTTGCAAATGAACGGAAAAAAGTGGATGCGTCAAAAGTAAATGCGACGACGCGAGCGAGCAACTTCATGAGGAGACTACTAGGTGGCGGTGGGTGTAAAAAGCGGTCCTTGATGCCAGCGGGTGGTGAAGTCCTGTCTGATTGTTCCCCCGTAGCTAAGAAGCCAAGGTTCTTGGAAGCCTCGTCTTCAAAGTCTTGGGAGAGCAGAGGAGGAGATGGACCAGCGCGTGTTTCGAAGACGGTGATCCTGGCCTTCCACCTGGAAGATGGTACATTACGTACAGGAGGAATGATGACCGAGAAGACGAAAAATTTTAAGAAGTAGTTGCTTACTCAATCGTCAGGGAAATTCGTAGATCTCGACAGAGGCTGAGGGAAGTGGTAAGTCCAACCCGAATCGACTAGCATCGTTATCCATTGCTCACTCAATTAACCTACGACGCTGATCACCATCTGCATTTTAGTTAAATCTTGGGTGAAAATAAAAGAGAAAAGTTCAACTTGGGGTTGGTGATTTTGTTTCTTGCTTTTCTTCTCGCAGCGCTGTTGTCTCCGCTTGAAAGCTTACTGTCATGGGTATTCATAGTAAATCAGTCTTACTGAATTGAAATCTCAGGGAGCATCCTCTAACTCAATTGTCAAAGGCGAAAAACTGTATGCGCGCTTCGATCTGCAGTGCTCTGAGGCGGGTGACAAGAAAAAAAATCCAAGCCTCAAACGCGACTACAGCGGTCTCCTCTGCAAGAGCGAGCTGTGGACGTTGGTGCACTTGTTGGATGCGATTGCTTCAGAGGTTCAAGTGACAACCAATACTGGGGAGAAGGCAACTGGGATGATGATTGATGATATCTGGGTCACTTTTCGCCTAACGTCGTCGCCCCGGAAGTTCTTGCTGCCTGAGGATGAGACGTTGGAGAAGATAGCCATACTGGAGGATATTCACAAGCTATTCGATTCTGCCAAGCTGAATATGGGGCTCATGGTCCACGCCAAGAAAGAGAAGCTTGAAAGTCTCCCGCCACCTTTAGATGTCTTGCCGAGGGCATATCCATCTGTGGAACAAAAAAACTTGATTCATTTCATTTACCCATATGACCTCTCCGGAAGTGGGGCGCAGGCGCGAAACTTGCCGCCTTTCGTTTACATTCGCAACTCTATTTTTAAGGGCAGAGAGCCATAGCTCCATAAGAAATTTACGTAGATACAACTAGTTTTCTTTCGTGATAATATTTATTGTTTGTGTCGCGCTTCGAAAACACAGACGTTAAAAATAAAGTACCATAAACGTGGACGAGACAGGCGGCTGACAGACACAACTCCGTTCGTGATTTATTGTGCGCTGAGTAACTAAACGCGAACGGCATCGTGCTCAATCTCCTTTTTCATAATTGTGGGAGAGCGGGCTTCCCGCTATGTCATGGACAGTGCGGTTGTCGGGACTTCTATTTAAGGCTTAGACTTTTTTACGGGTCACTGAAAGTGGTCGCTGACTAAGCACACCGAAGAGGTCACTGAGATCGAGCTGAGAACAGGGGAAAACAAGGTGCGAAAGTCGCCCTGAGACCGATCTTGGGGGCTTGTCCTTTTAGCATCAGTGACCAATGACTTCCGCCCTTTAATTTCTGTTTGACGGACTTGGAGACTTTCCTCCACACATCCTCGGCTTCGAAGCAAAGGCGTACGACATTAGTAGTCCTAGAACACTGAACAAGGAGCAGGTGCAGGAAAGGGATGCCACTCGTGCGTTCCCTCTTGATGAATTTGAAGAGGAACAAGCGCGGCAGAAGAGTACCACGACCATGCAAGAGCAGGAAGATGCCGCTATGCAACAACAACAAGTGGCCACTGTTTATCCCCCTTTTCACCATTTCGCCAGCGGAGTGAGGAAGGAATCGGACCCGAAATGTTCTGTCATTTTTCCCGAGTGGCGGCCGTTTGGTTATGATTGTTGATTCTGGAAAGATTGAGGGACAGGAATCAAAAAAATAGATTTGCGGTCGTGAAACGGGCAGCGGTGCGCAGTCAGTTGTAATATACTTAAATAGCGCCAGCACATACTATACTCAAATGAGGCAGGCTAGATTGGCTGGTAGAAAGCACCAGGAAAATCTTAGGCAGGCTGCCGAATAGATTCAAATCAGCAAGGCCAGCACATAGAGAAACTCGCCGGCTAAGCTTCTCTCGTATTAGGCTAGGTCCTCCAACCAATATACTTAACGAAGTCCCGCTTACTTCATCTGCGGAGTGGCTAAATAAGTACAGCTACTATTCCTAGTTTAATACAACTTCATCCACGACTGGGGCAGGAAGACTCTAGAATGCCCTTCTTATCCGCAATTGTCCACCATAGCTCTATGTATTCTAATCGATGCACATGCTCAACAGCGCGAAAAATTGGAATCAGTTCGCTGCCACTGAGGTGTGCTGCCGAGAAGCGGAGCGGTGCGCATCGGAACACGAGAAGCAAATACTTAGAGGAGTCAAAGAGCTTAAGTTACGACTGCAGTCGTACCATTTTTGTAGATCTTTTTACAATTGATGAGGGTATTGCTCCAACCAAGTCTGCATAAGAAAGTCTATGAGTATTTGAACTGAGTAGTTAAGCATACCCGCACCGAGTGGACTACCAAGCAAGTATACTTGAATTACTGAGAAGTTGCAAGTATCTTGAAACTTGAACTGAAACATTTCGGAGAGCTCTCTTAAAGGTCTTCTCTAATCAAGCGGCAAACTCTGTCCGGCGTGGATGAAGTAGCGGTCGTTCCGTACAAGGTGCGCAGATCTCCGAGGAGCACGTGAGATTTGGGCTACTTCTATTTCGGCCTCAACACGCTATACCATTTGTGGCCTTAGCACTTGTTTTCTTGTCACTGGGCTAGTGCACTTCTCTAAAAACCGTTGCGATTTCTAACTCATGACGTTTCTAGGAGATTTGATGATTAACACTGAGCTTGCACTGCATGCTCTGCTCTTTCTGTCAAAAAATGCGCGTTTCTTTTCCTACTTGGGCTGTACTAGTCGCATTGTCTGTATGCGTGAATTTGCAAAACCGGTACTGGGTAAGGCAATGGTGTTGACATCACCACTGTTCTGATAGTGATAAAACTTGCATGCTCTTGCTGTGAGCGTTTCGCTTGTTTGTTGCGATTCGCAGTAGGAGCAACGCTGACGATTATGTGCTTCAAAATTTTATTCCTATTCTTTTGAGTTGATTCAGATCATCAAGATCAATCTCAGGGATGATATCCTCGCATACGTCTTTTGTGGAAGTATGAGGCGACTGGGCGCCGGCGAGTGTTCTGTTTTTGGGCGGTTGTCACAGAAGCAATGCTGTACTAGCGCGATCAGATTTTTACATCAGTTACGTGGTGATCATAGTTCACACCAGTACCAGACACGAACTGCGGGATCTGAGGTGATCTGATTTGAGGGATGTGCTTTTCACCGAGTTGGTTGTGCTTTTTACCGAGTTGGTTGTGCTTTTCACCGAGTTGGCTGAGAGAAGGTCTTTCCGATTTCTTCCTAATTCACATCGGCAATTACAACATCAACAAGATGTAGTTCCGCGTACAGTCGTATCCTGCACTCCTCTTACTTTCCTAATACTGTCGATATCAAGAACAAGAGAATTCACACGCATCTCTGCTAAGATACCTATCAAAACAAGATGGCGCCTCTGTTTTCAAAGTTTCTCGCTCTGAATGCTGCCCTTTGGTCTGGGGCTCGAGCGGAAGAAACCGAGAAAAAAGTCGATGGGCCAGTTGTCGGAATAGATCTCGGAACCACGTATTCCTGTGTAGGAATCTACAAGAACGGACGCGTTGAGATCATTCCGAATGATCAGGTACTGAGGTTTGTTTGTTACTTAGGTTTGTTTGTTTGGGCGATACGCATCCCTTCGTAGGAGAGACTGTTGCTTTGGTGCGGGAAAGTGTAGACCCTGGGACCAAAAAAAAAGCGTTCGCCGTGGCAGCGTGAACAATGAAGGAATGAAAAACCTACCTTAGGACATAGTTGCTTGTCGGTTCTGGTGGAGAGGAGGGGGATATTTATATGAGTGATGTTTGCACGCAGAGTATTTTGATCTCATCCGGGATAACCTCCTAGAGCAGTCGTAGCTTCATTGACATCTCAACAAAACCGCAGGGTAACCGCATCACGCCGTCTTACGTTGCTTTCACGGTGGATGACGATAATGAAGCCAGGCTCATCGGGGAGGCCGCTAAGCAACAAGCTACCGTCTATCCAGAGCAGACTTTGTTCGATGTGAAGCGACTGATCGGTCGCCGATACAAGGACAAGTCTGTCCAAAGCGACAAGAAGCTTCTTCCCTACGCTATCGTGGACAAGGGCGGAAAGCCCTACATCAGGGTGAAAGTCAAAGGTATAGTTACACGATTTGAATTTTTTGTCTCGTAGATCAATAGGGGTGGTTCTCCTTAGTTCTTGTCGATTGCGGAGGTTTCCAATTCAGTGAGGCCTGATCAGTGAGAGATTTTTCGACGAATTCCCTCTTCGCCTACTAATTCCCTCTTTGCCTACTCTTAGTACTTATAATAAGCTTACACCTGAACTTTTCAATTTTATTGTCTCCTGTTTCTTTCCAGGTGAAAGCAAGGACATGTCCCCCGAGGAGGTATCGGCGTTGGTGTTGGTGAAAATGAAAGAGACCGCTGAGAACTATCTCGGTAAAACTGTTAACCACGCGGTTATCACGGTCCCAGCTTACTTCTCTGATGCTCAGCGACAGGCTACCAAGGATGCTGGTACCATCGCGGGATTGAACGTGATGCGTATTATCAATTATGGCGAGTGGATTATTCCTCTTTGTGATAGAGATTAATATTAATGTTTTTTTTGAGAAGCTACGTATCAAAAAACAAGCATATTGTTGGGGACAGCGTTTTGTTTTTCCAGTCGTACTGTCGGTTTAGCAAAATGTGCTTCAAGTGCTGAACGGAGAAAAAATGTATCTGAGAAACTACTAACTTCCTCTAATGCTCCGAGCCCACCGCTGCTGCCATCGCTTATGGTCTGGACAAGCAAGCCGAAAAGAACATCCTCGTGTACGATTTGGGTGGTGGTACCTTCGATGTGTCCCTGTTGACGATCGACAATGGTGTTTTCGAGGTCGTCGCAACGAGTGGAGATACGCATTTGGGTGGGGAGGACTTCGATCAGCGTCTGATGCAGCACTTCATGGAGCGATTCAAGAAGTCCACTGGGTCGGACATGTCGAAGGACAAGAAATCCATCCAGAAGCTGCGTCGCGAAGTCGAGAAAGCCAAAAGAGCTCTGTCATCTACTCCAAGCGTGCAAGTTCGTGTGGAAGCCCTGTTCGACGGAAAAGATTTGGACGATACATTGTCTTTATGGAGAAGGAAGTAGAGTCAAAGCAGAAGCAGCGTCTTTGGACCGTATCTTTTGGACTTCTAGTTGTACAGTACATTCATTAATATAATTTCAGCTCAATTTTTGCGTTCACACAAGGCTCGTCGTGGAAAGGAACTTGGGGACTACACAAAGCTCCAAAGCGAAAGCTCCAAGACGAGCTTTGTGTAATTCCCAAGTTTGTTTCATCCCCAAGTTTGTTTCATCCCCAAGTTTGTTTCATCCCCAAGTTTGTTTCATCCCCAAGTTTGTTTCATCCCCAAGTTTGTTTCTGCCACTTCTAACCTCGCGTTCCAGATTCGAGCAGTTGAACGACGACCTCTTCAAAAAGACCTTGAAGCCAGTGCAGGACGTTTTGTCGGATTCCAAGATGTCTAAATCCGAAATTCACGAGATTGTCTTGGTTGGAGGCTCTACCCGTATCCCGAAGATTCAGACGTTGATCAAGTTATGTCCTGGGGGTTGATGCGAGTTGTTGTCAGAGTATGTATTTACCTAGGTCACCCATCATCCTCTGAGGCGAGCAGGCGCCAGTGGGACTCGTTGTGCAGGATCCATAACCTAACCTAGCCTGTTTGCGCGATTTGCGGCCATCTCTACTTCAGTCGGGTTGGCAATTTCCGCATCAAGCAAGGAAGTTTGCTGTTGAAGTAAGCACTGTTATATCCCCCGTGCTTTTACTGTAGCACCCGCTGGTTTGAAACTCTAACTCTCGACTTCTTCAACGGCAAGGAGCCCAACCGCGGTATCAACCCCGATGAGGCTGTTGCCTACGGTGCTGCTGTGCAGGCAGGCATCCTCAGTGGTGAAGGTGGACAGGACTTGCTGTTGTTGGACGTGACGCCGTTGACTCTGGGTATTGAGACTGTTGGCGGAGTTATGACCAAACTGATCTCGCGAAACACCGTTATTCCAACAAAGAAGAGCCAAATCTTCTCGACCTACCAAGACAACCAGCCAGCAGTGAACATTCAGGTACTTCTACTTAGAGACTTAGACTGATATGAATTCTACTTGTGACAAAAGCAAAACAAGACTCTCCGCTTCTTCACGATACAATTAAGTTTTGCTGGAAGGAATCTCTAGAAGTTGTGAAGACGTCTTAGTCACAAATGGAAATCATTCTTGGCATCTATGGCAGGTCTTCGAAGGCGAGCGTCCGATGACGAAGGACAACCATTTGCTGGGTAAGTTCGAGCTTGGTGGAATTCCTCCTGCTCCACGAGGGCAGCCGCAGATCGAGGTCACCTTCGAGATCGACTCAAACGGAATCCTCAACGTTGGTGCCGAAGACAAAGGAACCGGAAAGTCTGAAAAGATCACCATCACCAACGATAAGGGAAGGCTTACGGAAGAGGAGATCGAGAGGATGGTGCGAGAAGCTGAGGAATTCGCAGAGGAAGACAAGAAGGTACTAGAGAAGATTTTTTCTACTACAAGGATATCAACAGATCACTTACCACCTGGGTTTACAACTTTTAGTCTATATTTGTTGCTAGCAGTACGTAGTTCATGCGCTTGAATGATCCCCATACTCCAGGTCAAAGAGCGAATCGATGCCAAGAACGCTTTCGATTCCTACATGCATGGTTTGAAGTCGGCCGTTGAAGGTGGCGCTGATGGAAAGGGCCTTGGGGACAAGATGGACGACGATGACAAGGAGAAGGTAATATTTTGCTTTTGGATAGGAATCAATATCCAGCAGATAAATTAGGGGTCAACGGGTGGGTACTATCGTCTTGAACACCTTGACTTAGCTGCACTCCATTGATTGTGAGTCTCCGAAAAGAATGATCCTACAAGACATAATGACAATTGTAGGCAAAGGATCTGCTAGAAGACAAGTGCCTTCCTCCCAAGACTCATGAGACGACAAACGGATACCTTCTCTCTTGCTACTATGACACAGGTAAAGGAGGCCATGGAAGACGGACAATCATGGATGGACTCCAACCCTGAGGCTGATGCAGAAGATATCAAGGAGAAACACAAGGAAGTTGAGGGTATCTGTGCCCCGGTCATCTCGAAGTACTACGGCGCAGGAGGAGCCGGTGGCGCCGAAGGTGGTGCCGAAGAAGACGATGATGACGAAGCCCATGACGAATTGTAATCTTCGTGATTTCGAGTTCATGTCTTGAAGTTAGAGTATAAACCCATGACGAATTATTGTAATCTTCGTGATATCATCAAGTTGCTTGTGTTGTTCATGTCTTGAAGTTAGAGTATAAACACAAAAGAAGTAATGTTGACGTAGTATAGTACTTGATTTCTTCATTTTTCCATTTGTTCGATGCCAGCTAGAAAGATAGGGATTCAAAGTCGTTCATGATGCAGATGTCGCATTTTCGTTATGATTGTACGTAGACGACACAAGAAGGGACCCCCATAGAAGGCGTAGGTCTCGAAGAGAAGTTTCTACAGGGTTCCTGTGGGTTGCAGTGCTGAGATATCGTAATTGATCACCACCCTGCGACGTAGAGAACTGTTGTAGTAGATTACCCTCCCACACATAACGACGTGTAAAGACTGTGTGTACCCTACGAACTCCCCGCGTTGTAACCCCACAGTACAGATTGAAAGACTTTTCCTGATGCTCGTAGAAACCGTTTTGTACATTGTGCGAGGAAGATGAAAAATTTAGAGGGTCTGAACAGCACAAGAATGGCCATTGCAGGGAAGGCTCCCGTCGTCGCTTGCTGAACCCGTTTTCTGGAGACGAGGATGCAAGGTCGCTGGCAGGAAGGTTGTCAGTCTTCGTATTTCATCTGTCTGTTTTCCAGAGAATCCTCATCGATGTTTCTTACTGGTAATTTAGTTTTTCCAGGCACTCACACAAGCTTCGGTTTCCAAACTACGTCTCTGTGTATGTAGCAGAATGGACCTCCAGGCATCGGTATCTTATGTATGTCAGATCATATTCAGTGAAAAGATCTAGGATCTGTGTTGTGTAGATGTGGACTTTTCTTAGAAAAAGTTACCATCCGATGGTAAATATTTCTAAGAGACTCAGAATGGTATCTGAAGATCCCTCATTATATACGCGGAAAAGTGAACCTCGAGATCAACATGTGGATCCTTTAGAGCAGAAGTCAGATCCTGAGAGTTTGCTGGAAACGACGATGGTAAGAGCAGCCGATCATGTTGTAAAGTGCATGAAAAAGATCACAATATCTGCCTCTGTTCCCCACGATTTTTTTACCCCTCCTTTGTATAGTTTGTCAGGTTTTTGGAAATTCTATCAAAGGAAGGTATTTCCCCGCAGCAAATACTACAAATTGGTTATTTTTTGTTCCCCGAAATCATTCCGTAATTCAGGCTAGTAGCCCACTAAGCATAAGTGAAAAGCGGACTATCAACTAGAAAAATTGTTCTGTTTCTCCCTTTATTTTCGGTTCAAGGAATAACCTGTTTTCTGAAAGCCACTTATCTCAAAAGATGCAGAACCAACAAGATATGATGCAACAGCAGCAGCCAATGCTGGATCAGTACGGGCAACCTATGATGCAGCAGCAAAACATGGATCCGTACGGACAACCTATGATGCAGCAGCAAAACATGAACCAATATGGGCAACCTATGACGCAGCAGCAAAACATGAACCAATATGGGCAGCCCGTGATGCAGCAACAACCGATGATGCAACAACCGATGCAGCAGCAGCCCATGATGCAGCAGCCCATGCAAGTCCAGGCTCCCCAACAGCAAACCGTCATGGGCGAACAAAGTGCTCCACAGGTCGTCATCGAGCAACCTGCCCAAACCGTGGTCGTCGAGCAGCCCCTGCCCGATTATGTTGAGATCCAGAGACGCCAAAACGTCCCTCTGTATATTCCTTCCATCAACATCCCTCTCGTCGTCGGGGACCCGATTGCGACCGCACCGTATTTGCACTTCCACTACATGGGTCGCACGTGGGGATGCAACCCTGAGGAAAACTTCACGGTCACTATGGGCAAAGACACTGCGCAAGTGATGAACATGGTTATGTCGCAAGGGTGCTGCGAGGGTCCGGTCTTCACATGCTACACGCCCCATGTTCGGTAATTTAATTTATCTCTTTACAACTAGTGATTATGAATACAGTCTTCACATGCTACACGCCGCATGTTCGCACGCCGCATGCTCGGAAGTCTTTGTGGGAATAAGTTTCATTCGCAGTTTTCACTGCTGCAACCCTATGACAAATAACAATATGTCAAACCTTTATGCTAGGCGCATGACAGCATTCAGTTACCAGCCCTTCTGCCATCCTTACCATAGATCGGCCACGTAATGAACAGTTCACCACCACTACCACAGGATCATAATTCAAAAACAAAATCCAACAAATACTACAGTGGCCCCTACCTCTGCGCTCCTACGATCAGAGAACGCGGTTGCAAGGCCCTTTGCTCGAATACCTCTGTGTTGGAGCATGATGTGGAGTACAAGAACTTGGCTTTGGGGACTTGTACGCAAGCGTACACCGGCTGCTGTGGCGGATGGGAGTACGATATCGCAGACGATCAAGGACAACTCGTTTTTCACGCAGTCTATGAAAAACCGGGATGCTGCGAAGGAGAACGTCGCTTCAGTTTCTTCGCACCAAGGACCAGACAGGAAGTTGCTACGGTAGGATATGATTCTTTTATACGTTCCTCTAGGATTGTGGAGATCGTTGTGATGTGGAGATAGTTGTAGTTATGATTGAAATGATAATACACAACAAGGTGAAGGTGATGATGTAGTTATGAAATAATAATACACAACAAGGTCGTGATGATGTAGTTTTTATAGAACAAATAGAACTCCAAATTCAATCGCACTCTCAATCTCAATGAAACTCAGGATCAATCAAACAGGTCACTCTCTACCCACCTGGATGCTGTGATTTCGGTTCTGTTGATTTGGCCTTCAACGCTGTCATGCACCCGCTTCTGAAGGCTTATTTGACTACGTTCGCTATGCGTATGAACTGGTTCATCGTCATGCGCCGTCGAAATAACGAGCAGAACACGGGTCTTCTTGTCGGGGTCGGCGTCGGTGCAGCGCTCAAAGCAGGCGATGAGAGTGCTGACGAAGAAGACGAAGTAGAGGTTTAAGACTAAGACCGAGACTAAGCCTTAGTAAGGATGTATTTAATGGAGAATAATTGGTTGAACAACTTGAGACGTAGAAGAAATGAAGGTTTATGATATGATAAGATTGTGAGTCTTGTTCACCTTCTTATTCATGATAGACGGATCGCTTACAGATAAGTATCTACTTGAAGATGTATGAGATGATATTTGATGGGTCGGAGTGCGCTGTACTGGTAGTTCAAAAAAGAAGAAAACAGAGGCTTGCTAAACTTTTTCAGAAGAAACCCGTACAGTTTTGGAACTTTTGGTAATTACCTATTTTTTATTTGTCCTAGCGTGGGGACTTACAATAGACATCTTGTGGTGGTGAAGTAGCTAGGTAGCTGGTGACCACTGTGGAAGGAGTTGCTAGGTTTGAAAGGGCGGTGGCATATAGTCCTAACGCAAAAAAAAAAGGTAGCTGCTAATGAAGAGCGCTATCAGGGATACACACAGGACATGCTAACGAAAGAAATGGAAGTATGATGATGTTATGAAAGTAAGTCACCAATTGTAGTAATATTCTCTCGCGTTAGATAGCTGGACGAACGACTGCGACTCAAGACGCTTGCAGGTAGTGGGAGCGTTGGATGGAGATTGGGCAAGTGCTCTCTCTCTTATAATTGGGCAAGTATTTTTATGGTGATGAAACTGAAAATTATCTCTTCAAATGGTCGATGAGACCTAGTAGCAGTGCAAGAACTGCGAACGTTCATCATACATAAGACGATTCATCAATGTTGTCCCAGTTTTCTGTGGTAGATGGCACTTTCCCTCAACATTCATAGACAAAGAACAGGTGCTGCGAACGACAGGCGTTTTGTTATTTTGCGTTCGTGAGCGTTGAGTGAGGGACTGCAGAGTGCGAGGAGGAGGGAAACAAGGGGTGAGTCTGAAGCCCACTATTTTACAAAAAAAGCAAGGTACTAGGTCTTCCATTTTTATCCTGCAATTTTCCCAGAGAAAAAAAGATCGAAAGAGCCACTACAACTTACATGTTCTTTCCACAAGAATGAAACCAAGCGAGTACTAGTCCCTGATAGTAGGTACAATCAAACTTCAAACCTCGTAGTGCATACAGAAATTTAAGTACTTCTACTTGCTTATTTCAGTTTATCGAATAACACCAATGGTCCTCTTGTACTAGCCCGTCCTAGAAGAAAATGGGCGCGTCGTGTCCGTGCTCGGCTCAGTGCTGTGTCACGATATCCGCAGACGAGGTAGGAATTGTAGAGCACTGGGCCAAATTCCACAACCTGCAAGGCGCGGGGTTAGTTATGGAGGAGGCCCTGTGATGGTGAGTTATCAGACTCGGACACCGCTTTGGTGACCTTAACTTTAAGTCTTGTAACGAGTTACTTGTGCAACATACACTGTAAGAAATCACATTTCCATGACTTGCGCAACAAGAAACGGATGAGGGCTTAATAGTCGCCCCCGTACTGGTAGCGCTCATAGTGCTTACGTTGGGTAGCGAATATGGGTTTCCATGTGTCAACTCACCCACTCGTACTACCGTCTAATCCCTCATGTTTTCCATTCCCGTGTATGTGTCAGCTCGCAGGCACTTTGAGTACGCGGCAAAGATCTCTTCCATTAAGGCTCATTTTATTGCATTTCCACAGGTCGCTTTTCTCTGCTTTCTTCTTGAAATACTGAGAGAATGAACCTAGTCTGCACTTATACTACCCATCTAGGCCTCCACTTCGGTGAAGTCTAAAAATTGGAATTTGCCACTAGCTGAGCGCTTGACTGTAAGTTATTTAGGAGCTAGCTTTCTAGAACTTCAACTTCTATGTAAAAATACAGCTCCACCTTTGAGGGTGATCGACGAGTAACGATCGCAATACAACGGAGCGCACACAAGGAACCGAAGAAATGAATTGCTTTGAGCTCATCTAACTTGCTTATCGACTGAAGCGAAGACGAAAGATAATGTCTTCATAGAAGTGAAGCTGGAAGTGCAATATGTCCTGAACAAAAACGAAGCGATGAACGCCTTCTACAAGCTCTCAAACGTGGAACAGCAAATATGCAGCTATCTGAAGAATGAGATACGAAGTATTCGCCCTTTCCTATTTTTTCTTTGATGTAGCAGTCGAACGAGGACAATCTTCAAGAAACGAACTGTGCATAGAGGACGAGGAACGAACAGAAAAGTGCTTCACCAGTCCAAACAGAAGAACCTCGTAAAAGGACCTTGTGTTCCTAGACCTCTTCTGTAGTAGTTCTTAGTAGCTTGTCATGAATTACTAATGACCTGCGCTTTGCTTGTCTTTGATGTGATGTTCGTTCCTCGTCTTCTATGCGCAGTTCGTTTCTTCGATCAATCATTCAATTTGAAGATTGTCCTCGTCGTCCGACAGACGGAGCACATCTTGATACTTTCGCAAACAAAGGTACAATCTGCACTCGCCTCCTCGACGAAGTCTACAATGACCGGTCTGTGCTGATTGCCAATGTGAGGGATCGATTGTCAGAGGTCATGGCAGCCTATGGCTACATTCTGGTGGCCGTACTTGTGCATGAAGTAACACCTGCTGCGAAGGTGTTCCAAGCGATGAACTCGATAGAGACGCTATTATGAAGTGTCTTCTGAAAACTGTGCGAGATTGAAAATTGTATTGTAGTATGGTATAATCCAAACAGAAGAACCTCGTAAAAAAAGGACCTCAACACGTTCGACTCTACTGATTCTAATTTCGCGGAGACTCCGGGTGGCCACTTTGGACCAAGCTGAAGCGGAGAAGCTTTTAGTAGTCAAAAGAGCAGAAGGCGAGATGGAGCGGAAAAGATTGTCTGGGGTGGGGTTGTCGAGGCAGAGAATGGCCTTATTGAGGGGGATGGAGATGAGCATGGCCCACTTCATTTATGATTGATGAACAAGATGTAGAAAACTACCTAATATCATCTTCAATACTATCAGAAGCTGTAAGTAAATTAGATTCCATTTACAAATACAATCAGAAGATCCTTGTACTACAGATACAAAACACTTTGCTTATCAGTAAAGTGGATGAACATTACATTCCAAGATAATTTAGTAGATGAGTAGTTGTATCTACACACTTTGCTCTGATATTCTGTCTCAGACGCGCAAGAGACGTCAGCAGACCCAGCGACAGGCGTGATGCCGCGTTCCAAGACCATGGCTCTAGATGGCTTAGAAGCTCTAGAAGCGGACGCTCAAGCGGCTATGCATGCTTATGCGAGGCCAGCAAATCGCATGAGAATGCCCACAGATGTAGGGGTAGAAGACACAAACACGCTGTTTCCTCCTGAAGCGATTTCGCAGCCGCCATTGATCGGGGTAGGACAGCAGGCGGAGGGGCTTGTGTACTGACTTCTATACATGGACATGTTGCTAATCGCGCAATTTATAAGGTTTCACAGCTCGCATGGCATGGAGTGCATGGATCACATGGAGTAGCATGGAGCTAAAGGGGGAGCTTCTTGCGCCCCTTAAAGCTCTGCGCTCCATGCTACTCCGTGCCCCATGCGTGCTATAAACTATGACTTGATGTTGAGCCCACCTTCAAACTATTCAATCGAACAATAATGCTGACCTTCATCAGAAATGACATTTCAATTCCCCTGTCAAACAGGGACACAGTCCGCGTTCGAGACGTGATGGAATTGATGCTGATCACGAACTACTTCGACATGCTTAAGGACGTTGGGCAGAACGATTCGGCGAGTACCATCTACATCGGCAATAGTCCCGGAACGGTTGGATCGATGTTATGTTCTTGAATCAGCTAGAGTCTCGTTGATCATCCGAAAACACTCTGAATCTGATACGGTAAAAATTCTACTTCGTCTACCTTTTGCTCAGGACCACACTTTCGGCTGATGTCACTTGGAGTCTCTAGTGTCGAGTTTTTTCAATCTCTAATGATACGTCGCGAAATTGCTGGCGCTTTCTCCGGGTAACGTGTGGACTGCTCTCCCTCTTACACGCCCTCTCTCTCCCGCATCGCTATGGAAAACGCGTGTATCAAATGAAACCCAGCACTGCTTTGCGCCTCGTCACACTGCACACCCAAATCGAGAAAGAAAGACAAGGACATTCGCGTGAGAGAGTTCTCTTCAGATTCTGCATTGTTCTTCGCAGATTCTGGCAGAAACAATCACACTCTTGCACTGGCAAGTAAAAGACGTCTGACTGGGATACGTGGTCAGGAACCCTTGGTTCTTCTGCGGTATAATTCTGTAATTGTGAGGGTTACATGTACTAGAAGAAGTCTGTAGCATCTCATCTATGAGAGTTGGCGGCGACGTGATCTGATGGTTTGTCGGTATCTTGTGTGCTTCGCATGCTTTGCTTTTTTTGCTGTGGTGCAGACACACAGTTCTGTTTTTCCTACTTTTCCTGCGATCTTGTATGAGAGAATGAAGAGAGCGCAAATTTTGTCTTGAGTTTGAAATATGGTCTATCTCTGTGATGTTCTTCGGAAACGTGGTGTCTGTCTGAGACGCATCCGTCTGTCCATCTTTCGAGAGATAGGAAAAGATAGGAGCGTCAGCATTCATCTTTGATTGTGTGAATGACTTCAACTCTTGACCTCATCTCAAAAAAGCCAAAACAGTTTTAATGATGGGTTTGCTGAAAGCATCATGTGAAACGGCTGTCCATCATCGCTTAGGAAGACATATTAGACTTTAACTTGAACCTAACCCGGAGGTCAAAACTTCGCGAACTACATTTCTTTGTTTGAAGTACTTACTCAATTTTCTTCACTTCGGCAAGACTTTTTGATATGGCATAGTTTTTTTCGCCTATGTTGATATCTAGATGAAATACTAGACTCTTGGGGCTTCGCTCGAGGTTTCTGCTATCTTTCTAGACGTTAAAAAAGGCTTGAGGTATAAAAAATAGAAAAAACTACTCAGCGACGAAAGAAAAAGAACACAGAAAAAAGCGCGCGCCTTATAAACATGCGCAAAAATGAGAAAAGTGCTGCGCGTTGGTGTTGGGTGACTATGGGCATGGATAGGGATGCGGATATGGATACGGCTACGGGTATGGATGTGGGATATGGATGCGGGATATGGATGTGGGACATGGGTGGGGGGCATGGGTGTGGGATATGGATGTGGGGCATGGGTGTGGGATATGGATGTGGGGCATGGATGTGGGATATGGACGTGGGATATGAATGCGGGATATGGATGCGGGATATGGATGTGGGACATGGATGCGGG